GGGTAGACATGACATAACAATATAAATGGATATCCTTCATTTATTGTGTAGGTATCACCAATTCCGCTTCCACTTTGGCCTTGGATAAAAAATGTGAATGCTGTAAAATAGAAGGCAAAGTATATGTAATTACAGATTATATATAATATATATCTCATAATTATGACATCTTCCTTTGATGTGGTTGGGTTTATATTTTTGTATATATACCTGCCATTCAGAAATGCTGCCATCATTATGAAATATATCCTATATAACATACTAGAACTGGTCTATATACAAAAGATATAGACCTTTGGGTGGGTGTCCTCGGATGTGATATAGCCCTTGGGCCTGTGGCCCTCGGGCTATATCGTATCCTTGGACACCCACCTCNAGGTCTATATTTTTGTATATAGACCTGTTTAGTATGATATATAATACACATATAGTATGCCTTTGAGGTCTATATCAGTAATATAGGATAATGACGACATCATTACTTTGATGTGGTTGGTCCTATATTTTGTATATAGACCTGCCATGCAGAAATGCTGTCATCATTATGCAATAAATTATATATAGTATACTAGAACGGTCTTATATACAGAATATAGGACCTTTGGTTTGTGTCCTTGGATGTAATATAGCCCTCGGGCCTATGGCCCTTGGGCTATATTATGCACATCCTCGGACACTAGCTTCAGACCCTATATTCTGTATATGCAACTTACTAGTATACTACTGGTATATAATAATATACATATGAGACCTGAGCCAAAAATAAACCACCAAATCAGTTACTCATCTACTTACTAATTTCACATTGACTATAATCAGGATTTCCCCAGCCAACTCCATTAGTCTGACACAATCGAGTGACATTCATCAGTGGATAGTTACCACAAGGCATTGTAAGTGTAGTATTACCAACTGACTCTGGCCATGTATGATCACCAAAATCTAGTGACTCAGTTTGACTTTGATTACAAAACCCAGTGACTGGAAAAACAACAGCAATAGCACTCCTCATTCAGTTAATAGTCTTTACCTGATTGCTGGAAATGGTACCAACTCTTTGACATCAAACTAGATAGTCTGTTTCCAACATCCTCTACAAATGAACTGTTTGGTGGATACTCTCTTATATCACACTCTAGACGATTTTGGCTAGCATCACTATGTGCCTGAATACTGCAATATGTAAAAATTCTCATTGCATTGATTGATTACTTACTGTGGAACCAAGGTACAGGATATTGTTCTAATTGGATCACTTGAGTAATTTAGTCCATCAGCAAGTGTTGAAGAAAATATCTAATAAAAGCAAAAATTAATTTATTAATAAAAAAGACTCATCAAGACTTTTGTTAACAATAACCAGTATAACAAAATTTAGTACCAAAACAATAGATACC